GAGTTGGGAGGGTAATAAAGTTTTTGTATAGGTATGTAAAAGGAAAATTTGCGTTCCTATACCATATAGGAAACTATATTACCAAATATGTTCATAGTTTGCATATTACCCGCCATGCTAATAGTATTTCTACAAAATATAGACAATTCATTAAACAAGGAACCATTGTAGCTGTAGGCTTCCTTATTTAGGCGCGCTAATATTGGGGAATAAAATATTCTTCCAGATAATTTACAACGCAATCACGCGTTAATATTTCCGTTCTCTGTATATTTTCATATGTTGTTTGTTTGGATTGGGATTTTCATACTTTGGTTGATTGGAATTTGTTTTTACAGAGAAACGGAATTTTCATACGTTGTTTGTTTGGATTGGATGTTGTTGCAAAGAATCGAGAATTCTCTCTACGTCTCTCTCTATCCCTCAATCCCAAATTTCAGTAATATAAAGCAAAGGAAAAGAGAGCAGCAATTCCACCATTGACAGCCATTAAAAAGCTTTGAAGCTTTGAATTCGAATTTGGGTTTTCAAAAATCATATTTTGTTTGGATTGGGTGTTGTTGCAAATAATTGGGAATATGGTTTGGAGTTTATATCTCAATTTTGAGGGGTTTTGGTGAAGATTAGACTTGATTTTGGCTGAATTTCAGATTGAAACTCGAAGAAGAAGAAGAAGACATGACATACATTATATTGCAGAAATTGTAGAAAAATTGTAGACTGTTGTTTATTTATTTTTCTTTTATTCATTTAACTATTGTATGAAAGTTGAACAACATTGTATAAAAATTATATTTAAGTGGTATTATATTGTATTTAAGTGGTTTAACGACAATAGTAACATCTCTTCCCATTTCTTACTTCTTCTCTAGCATAATACGTATTTTCTTCATATACTAGTCCAATTTTTTCAGTTGCATACCTATTTGTGGATATTCTATGACACCAATAATTATTTTGAACTGACATTAATACCACACCAAGAGACCAACATCAATGGTAAGGAACGCATTATATGTCACTCGTTCAACTGTATTTCCAAATTCCAATCAGTTTTTTCTTTCTTTATTAAAATTTTTTAAATCTCAAAATGTAACCTTATTATCAATTTTAATTTCTTTTATCACCATTTTCTCTCATCATCTCTTCCAATCAAAGCCCACCACTAAAGCACCAACAAATTATTTCATGACATTCGAGACAAAAAGAAACGTTTTGAGTTAAGTAAACGTTGAAATTTGCTGCTGCACGGACAAATTCTATCAAGTTGTATATCAATGTCCTACATTTTATCTATATTTTATCTACAAAATAAACTATATGCCAGAGTAAAATATATATATCAGTATGGATTTTCACAATATCTACAAAATTTCTACATTTATTCTACAATAAAACTACATATCATTTGAAAAATTNTACACAAATACAATTTTTATACAATTTTATAAAATATATACAACAATAACAACAACAAAAAACCCAGTTTGATCCCAACAAATGAGGTCTGGGGAGGGTAGTCTGTACGCAGACCTTACCCCTACCTAATGCAGGTAGAGAGGCTGTTTCCAATAGACCCTCGGCTCAGGAAGGAATTTTATAAAATATATATTTTGTATATTTTGTATCTGATTTATACATAGTAAAAATAAATTTCATACAACTAATTATATATTATACAACTTATCTACAACTTTCACATATTATTTCTACCATTTAAATACAACTACAATAACATACAACTTAAATACAAATTTTATACAAAATTTATACAATATGTCTTTTGTATATTTTGTATCTGATTTATACATAGTAAAAACAAATTTCATATAACTATTTATATATTATACAACTTATCTACAAATTATCTACAATTTGCGTACATTATTCCTACTCAGTTATATACAACTACAATATAATACCACTTAAATACAATTTTTATACAATGTTGTTCAACTTTCATACAATAGTTAAATGAATAAAAGAAAAATAAATAAACAACAGTCTACAATTCTTCTTCAATTTTTCTACAATTTCTGCATATATAATGTATGTCATGTCTTCTTCTTCTTCTTCTTCGAGTTTCAATCTGAAATTCAGCCAAAACCAAGTCTAATCTTCACCAAAACCCCTCAAAATTGAGATATAAACTCCAAACCATATTCCCAATTATTTGCATCAACACCCAATCCAAACAAATAATGATTTTTGAAAACCCAAATTCGAATTCAAAGCTTCAAAGGTTTTTAATGGCTGTCAATGGTGGAATTGCTGCTCTCTTTACCTTTCCTCTTATATTACTGAAATTTGGGATTGAGAGATAGAGAGAGACGTAGAGAGAACTCTCAATTCTTTGCAGCAACATCCAATCCAAACAAACAATGTCTTTTGAAAACCCAAATTCGAATTCAAAACTTCAAAGCTTTTTAATGGTTGTCAATGGTGGAGGGGTTACAGATTTTCGCTGATTTTAGAAGAGGAAATCGTGGGTGACTGAAGAAGAAATCGTGGGGATTTGGAGAGAGAAACTTGGGGGAGTGAGAATATATGGTTGAGTAAAATTAGGAGACTAATTAATACCATTAAAATTCCAAAATGGTACATAAATGGTAATTAGGTATATAGAAGGTAATTATATTAAAAGTTAAGCATAGAGGGTAATATAGTTTACTATATGGCATAGGAATATAAAAATTCCTATGTAAAATCTGGATAAAAATGAGCAATTTATGCTATATACCTACCTAATATAAAATAATTACCCGTTTCTACCTACTCTCAAACTAGTTACACTAAATACCTATCCGACCAAAAGTATTTACCCGCATACTCAACTTTATAATTTATTCTTCTACTACAACTGCCCTGCACTTATCCTCATCTTTTTCTTCTCCTTTTCTCTTTTTTTCCTTTCTGGCTGAAGCTTATATTTGGTTCCAAACGTTTATGTCCCCTTTGTTCTTTTATAAAAAAGTTTCAAAGTAGGCTTTCTCTGTACTTAGTAGCTAAGCTGATTTTTCATTTTGATTTACCGGTGATAATTTAGAGTTTTAAAAAGGTCAAACGCATAGACAACCCTCTAAATCTGTGTGAATATTTAATTTAGCCATCCAAATTAAATCTATAACCATTTGAACACTTATGTGTATTTGAACATCCACCATTGTTGGGCTTAAAGCTCAATTTTATTTTTGAAGATTTCTTGTTTTTCAAAGTGGGTGCTGTTAAATATTGCTTATAGTACCTTCTGGAAGTTCATACTAAAATTTGATAGCAATTGGAGCTGATTGAGATCGAAATTTTCAGCTGAAAATCGAAGAAGAACACAGCTATCCAATAATATACTGTTACGGTATACAATATGCTTTAGGAGTATATAGCTATACTGCAACAGTATGCTATTATAGTTTATAATATACTGCAACGGTATATTGTAATAATCAAAAAAGAACACAATTACTTAACAGTATACCGCTACAGTATAATAATATACTATAGGAGTATATAGTTATACTGCAACAGTATACTATTATAATATACAATATATTGTTATGGTATACTGTAATAATATGCAAGATACTGTAACAATATGCTGTAATAGCATACAATATACTATAATAGTATACTTATTACCCGTAAATTCACTTGTCTTGTCCCTTTTAATTTGTTTAAGCTTTTACCCAGCGTGAGGCGCAAATTGAAAATGCAAAAGAAAAAAATTACAGTATGCTATATGATGTAACGGTATACTCTTACAATTAGATCCTTTTAGAATTTTTTAAATTTTTTTTGACAACTGATATTATTTCAGTTTAATAGTTGAATTGAAAAAATTTTAACTCTCTGCGTACAATTGTACACCCTGTTGGTATAGCTATATACTATACTGGTATCATATGTTAGTTAATATTTTTTTGGTTATATTAACTACATTTAATTAGTACACAATTTGATTTTTCTTTGGTAATAATATAAAAAAAAGAATAATAAAAAATAGTGAAAACAGTAAATGAAATTAGATTATGAAAAGAAAAAGAATATAAAAAAACAGAAGTTAAATGGAATTAGAAAAGGAAAAAAGAAAAAAATAAGAAGAAAACGAGAAAAAAAAGGAGAAAAGAAAAAAGAAAAGAAAAGAAGCATAGAAATAAAAAAGAAATGGAGAATAAAGAAAAAATTCTCCACAAAACCTATTATGGGTAGGAAATGTAATTAGTTTATGGGTAGGAAAATAAAATGGGTAGACAAGAGTAAATAGTTTTATTTTTGTGGATAACTGTGTCAAAACCCGGGAGAAATTCAAATATAGCCAGATTTACCACTGGTCGTTGAAAAATAGCCAAGTTTCAAAAGTCATCGAAATTTAGCCACTTTAAATCTGAGCGAAAACACTGTTCAAAATCCGGAAAAATACGCTCGCAAATTTTACGGGAGTTCCAGCGTAAGTATGCTTGAACTCCCGTAAATTTTACGGGAGTTACAGGATAACTATGCTGGAACTCCCGCAAATTTTACGGGAGTTCCAGCAAGTATAATTGTCCAGTATAATATACTGGAGTTTGGAGCACTGGTGCTCCAGTCTCCCCCAAATTTTACAGGAGTTAGCAAAGTATACCGGTCCAGCATAATATGCTGGAGTTCGTACACAAATGCACCAGAACTCCCGTATATTATACTGGACCGGTCCCTGTTGCAGCAAAATAGTGACTATTTTTCATTGACTTGATAAACGCTGGCTATTTTTCATTGACCAGTGTGAAAACTGGCTATACCATGATATTTTAACTCAAAACCCCGATAAAAATCTCAAGCTATTAGGCCCAGAAGCCCACCATCGTTAGTTCGGGTTTAACCCGACCTTACTGTATAATAAACTCACTGAACAAGTTTTGCCATGAAACTCGCTCTTCATTCCACGGATCGTGGATCAGTTTTCGTTGATAACATTAAAAAATGAGTAGAAAAACTAATCACATGCATGGATGTAAAAGAAACTACAACTCTAACCAAAATATCAGAAACCACTTAATTATCTGAAATAACGAAATGAGGAAGGAGGTGGTGGTGTTGGAAGCAGTGACGACGGTTTCCACCGCCGTAGCGGCTGCGCTGTTGGTGAGGCAATGGAAGAGGCGAAGCGAGCAACGGTGGAGGCATGCACAGCGTATCCTTCGAAAATTTGCAAGAGAATGTGCGACCCCTGTTCCTAAGTTATGGCAAATTGCTGATGATCTCGTGACTGAGATGCAATCGGGTCTAACTTCAACTGAATCCAGCCTCCAAATGCTTCCTTCTTGCTTAGCTTCACTACCCACAGGGTACTATATATAGTTTTCATTCTTAGTAGAGAAAATTGAATTTAATTCTCTAATGTTGATTACATTTTCCACTGCTGTAGCCTGTAGCCTGTAGGTTATATATACTTTTTTTAATTACACTGGGGGATTAGGGGAGGGGAAGAGGGGAGGGGGATTTTGAGAATTGAATCAAAGCCGTTTCGTGTGAAACACTCTCACTGATACCACTAAACTATAATTATAGGTGGTTTCATACTTTCCTTTAGATTTTGAGATTAGTTTGATCAATGGATGAAATTTGAAAAGGAAAACACACACCCAAGTTGAACCCTTGATATTTGAATAAAAGAATTAAATATCACATTACCCTTGCATTCCATTTTAAGTAGATGTGGATATAGAATTTTAAGCCCGTAAGTGCAGAGTACCACTATACTAGAATATTTCTTGTGATTAGGACAATTGCTCCTACATTTTAATTTATGAATTGCATGGTTCTATTAGTTGCTCGTTAATAGTTTACATATGTGGTGTCAGAGATGAGAAAGGTCTATACTATGGGATTAATCTTCGCGGAACTAATTTCATCATCGTGCAAGCACGTCTTGGAGGAAGAAATGAACCACCCGTTTCACGTCTTGCTGGAAGAAATGAACCCATTTCGGATCTTTATAGGCAAGAAATTCAAATTCCTCCCAACATAATAGAGGGCAGCTCCCAGGTTTGTCCATTGCCTCCTACTGTAACAAGAATAAATAAATAGAAGTGTTATTTGCCAGTAACTCATAGCAATCTGTCTCGTTTATTGCACGAAACATATTTTATAATAAGTAATTTATGATGAAATTCCTAATTTGTCTAAAGTTTTAGTTATATTGGGATTTCCTCCTTAATTATTTTTGACTGATGAATGATTCTAACTACGTACTCGTTATGGGCTATGATTAGCTTACCACCTATCTTGATACTGACCCTGAACCATACGAAAGAACATACTTCTTCAACATTATCAAGTAACTGAAATAAATATAGTAGCAGGTTGGATAATCAAATTTTCTGAATGGAAGTAAAGGTCTTTGATTAACTCTTTTCAAGTCATTATAGGAGCTTCTATGGAAAGCAGGGTATACCACATTGCATAAGATCCTTAACAATTTTGAACTTACAGTCCAAATGAAGAGCTACGAAGAATGTTCCAAACGGCTAACAACCTGCTCCTTCAGCAGAATAGGTTGCCTTCAAAAAAAACAATGGAACATGTTAGACATGATAATTTCATTCTAAATTTGTCCATGACTGGTTTTATTTTGTTGAATTTCCAACTTGTACTTGTTTCAGTTTTTTCCTTTATTGATGTCTTTTTTATACTTAGATCTTTCAATATGTGGTGAAACGACAACTAATAAGTATGGTACTAGCCAAAGTTTGTAAAGCATTTAAGATTGCAGTTATTATATTACATCATTTTCATTTCACTTTAGTCACTTGAGGTTTCAGCCCTAAATGCTGATTCAGATATGAAAAAGGCCATTGTGCATATAAGGTTTCAGCCCTAAATGCTGATTTCAGCCCTAATAAGCTTAATGTAGTCATATAGGTCTCTCATCATGGGCGGATTAAGGGACACGGAACCATAAAATTACATTGTGCATATAAGGCAAAATTCATGTTGCGCCTCTATATATCATGTATTGAATCCCCTTGCTACAGCACAAAAGCATAGCTTAATGGTCAAGGGGGTTCAAAACCTTTGTGTGTTGGTTAAATTCCTACTGGCCATAGTCCCTTTTAATTTTATAACCTTTTCTTTTTTGAACCCCTGAGCGAAATCCTGCCTCTGCCACCATCTCTCATTACTAAATGATTATGTTAGGTCCTATCTCTTTCTCTGCTTCTTATATGTTCTTTTAATTTCATCAAGGTCCTCAAAGGTATAAGAAATTTTCTATTGAAGTTTGTGAGACAATATTGCTGCTGAAGCTTTGTTAAGGTGACATAAAGTCGTGCGAAGCAGCTTCTGACTAGTAGTATCACCAGTCAATTAGTGTCAAACTATCAGGTTTAGTGTTGCTAAAGTTTCATGAAATATCTTCCTTTTGAACCTGTTTCAGGAATTATTTGATTGGATAACGGTGGAGCTCGGGAAATTCATCTCCATGCATAGTGAAGGTCTGCAAGGAGGAGAGAAAAATCTGGGATTTACTGTATCACCTACAATTGGGGAAGTAGCTGCCTCCAAGGAAACAGCCATTAAATGGAAGGATTCATTATTTGGAGACGCAGTTGAGTCTTTCTATACCTAAGTAGATTTAAATCTCTAAGGGACAAAGATTCTCTGAAACAAATATGTTTCCTATGCATTTTGGACTTAAAAACAATCAGATTTAATTGACAATATCTTTCAAAGATTCAGCTCCAAGAAAGGAAATTGAGGTGTACACAGTTATCAAGCAAAATTCATGGCTCATTTGATGATTAAGTCTTTGTACTTTTCCTTCCAAGCTTGAGCAATAATTATTGATTCACAGTTTTTACATGAATATAGATAGAACATGAATACGTTACTACATCGTAATCTCAGGAAGGGAACAAGTTGTTGAATGAAATCAATCTCGCCTTGGAGAAGCACGGTGTTGATAAGCAAGTTTTTGCCCTGGTGAAAATTCTGGGATCTTCCCTTTCTCGTATAGCAGAAAAGGTATAATTATTTGCATAGAATGTGATTCAAATTGCAATTCTGCAGGTTGATGACACCATAGGAGTTTTGGCTGGAGGAAGGTACTATAGTAAAGAGAGTGTGGCTGCAGTCACTCTGGGAATGGGCACTAATGCTGCGTATGTAGAATCAGCAAAATCCGTTGTAAAATGGCCTGATCAGGCTCCAAAACCAGAAGAAATAGTAAATTCTGGTGACAGCTTTTAAGTATACCAGCTAATAAAATGTTACAATGTTTCACTATAGTGCTTGTTTGTGCAGGCAATTAATATCCAATGGGGGAATTTTAGGTCCTCCCATCTTCCAATTACCGAATTTGATACATCGTTAGATGCCGAAAGTTCAAATCCTGGTAGCCAGGTGGTCACTTAACTTTTCTTCCCCCGTCAGGTTCCCTGTGATCTCCATTAACTGCATTAACTCCTTAATCTCATTTTGTCTTCAGATATTTGAGAAGCTTATTTCGGGTACATATTTAGGAGAAACTGTTAGAAGAGTCATACTAAAGATGGCTCAGGAATCATCTTTATTTGGAGATAGAGTACCACCTAACCTAGCAATTCCATACTCGTTGAGGTAAAATGTTGATTATTTCTAAATCAAATGTACAGGTTGATTGGATCTTATGTTTTTTTTTTCATTAAAAACTCAATACGTAGTTGATTTTCTTTCTTTCTTTCAAAATTACCTTCAAAATGAAATTAATTCTCTCCATCAACTGCACTAAGAAGTTGCACTTGTCCACCTTCCATGTGGAAATTGCCCCATTTCCCAAGTAGCCAGGATATGAAACTATTTCTCCATCTCCGGTTTTATTGTGACAGATATCATAGATGTTTTTTTGGTAGTGTATATTAGTAAATGTCATAATACATTGGCAGTAAAATCAGCTTGAAACAATTGGCATTTTGGAGCTCCATATTTCATAATTACTGTCACATTATCTTTTGTATTATTGACTATAGTTAATGGCAGGTCCCCAGATATGGCTGCTATGCATCAAGACACATCAGAGGACTATGAAGTAATTGATGAGAAACTGACAGAAATTTTTGGGGTAGGGCTTTTACATCAGAATTGTCAAATTCAAAGAGTAATTTCCTGAGAAATGTTCTTACAGTTTCTCCATTACTAGTTTTTCATTTTTGTGGTAAGGGAGGGGGTTGAACATGTGATTTCTCTAGTTAAAGTGTTTTTTCGTCTAGGTGGTTTCAATGTGCATTATTTATAAGTAGATTATATGGACAAGTTTTTGCTACCGTGCTAATTAGCTATCTGCTGATTGCAGATAAATAACTCTACAACCATGGCAAGAGAACTAGTTGCAGAGGTCTGTGATGTTGTAGCAGAACGTGGAGCTCGATTAGTTGGAGCTGGCATCGTGGGGATTGTAAAGAAACTAGGAAGGCTTTCTAATAGGATTAGCATTATTACAGTAGAAGGTGGTGTCTACGAGCATTATCGCGTTTTCAGGAACTATCTGCATAGCAGTGTGTGGGAGATGCTTGGCAATGAACTATCAGACAATGTGATTATTGAACATTCTCATGGTGGTTCTGGTGCCAGTTCCATCTTTATTGCAGCTTCACAACCATAAGCCTCGAACTTCATAGTAACTTCTTTTAGCCGTGACAGAGTTACATTTGGGTGGTTCATATGATTGCAGCGTCTAATTATTTATTTATTTGTTTATTTGTTCGTATTTTTTTCACATCCATCCACTGAGATGTTGTTTTCAGTATATTATTTTATATGATTTACTGTCTGTTTGAGTAGGCAACAAGTGGCAGGTTTGCAAAATAAGAAAGGGCAAGCGCTGGTCATAGTTTCTGAATTCTCTTTTATGTTCCTCTGTATCAAATGCTGAAAATCAAGAAAATTGATGTAGTATATGTTGGATTATTCCTAATATTACACAATAATGCATATAATACGTAGCCTTAGACTCCTGTTTAACGTCTTTCACAGCCTCTGGTGTATATTGTTAATTAGATATTTTTTCTTCTCTTTACACATAAAACAAAAGTGTGTTACGAGAGTTACATATTGCTCGTAAGATGTAGTTTTTGTAGATAGAAATGATGGTGCAATCACAAGGATCAGTCCCCACTAGTCTTGCTTGTTGTCTTACATAGACGGTTACCTCCACTTCTGGGAAAAGGTTTGAATTAAAGGAACTACAAAGAGAATTCCAGCATGTTATATATCTGTAGGAACCTCTCTATAATAAATGAAAGAAAACAAGCATAGAGACAAAGGCACCCCCAAGACTTCCGAGTTCCGACTCTTTATATGAATCTGCTGCTTGATGTGACCATATACACCAACTGTTACTTTCAGCCATCTAATGCGTCCAATGGAAGTTGGCCAGACTTTCTGGATTGGGAGAGACAAGATCCATATGCAAAGCCCATAACCATTACCCCACTATAGTAGAAGGACCACTTTGGATTTCTTTGAAATTTTATTGTAACAGAATTGCAGATGGAGAAAGGACGAACACTGACAAAATAACGTGAATTGAGAATCAAGTTTGTGAATTATACAAACTAAAATTTGTAAAGATTTTCCCAAGTCATTAGAAATGGTTTGCAACTTGGCATGGATGAAAATATTATTTACTTGCTTCCTTAGAAACCATTTACTCACGTATAAGTATTTCAGTTAGACATTATACATGTATCCGTGAATTCACTAGCATCCATTTATGAAATTTCACAGTAAGGCCCTTTTCCAAAAGATTGTAGCAAAATGATTCAACCTTTTTTTCATTTTTTTTAATTACAAGGAACTTTTACACATCAGCATGGACAAAAATAGTATGGCAATCAGATCAATGGAAAAAGGCCATCAAATTTTCAAAAGTGACAGAGGTATTTTGAAGTTTATAACGTTGGAGTGGTTAGTAATAATTTGAGATTCAGCGAAATAATTGTATTAAATATTTATGTAGATAAACAAGTCCATCTAAGGTAGGAATATACTCATTTTGTAAGATTGGCGTGGACCAGGGGAAGGAGCAAGGAAAGGAAAATGTCGGGCAATGTATGCCAGAAAGTTTGATGTTTGCCCCTCCATAATATTTCGTCGGTCCATAGGATAAAGAATAAAGTAATCATCATAATTAATTAGCTATGATTATCTGTCTCTCTTACACGTTCTCTTTCTAGAGACCCGCGTGCTGCTCTGCAGTTTTAACGTAAAACTAGATTCTCCTCTATGGAAAAATTTAAGAGCGCTTTGACCATGCAAAGCTTGTTTTATATTTTTTTCAATAGCAAGTTAAGTATACCTTAATAATATTTATTTTTAAAAATACTTCACGTTAAAGCACTTAGAAAATTATATAGGCAGCCTACTAAATTCTTCTTTGAACTTTTCTAAAATCTTGCCCTAGCAGAGCATTTGTGCTGTGCATTGGCAGACAAAACGCATCAATTTATCACTTAATCATGAGAAATTATGCTTTTGAGAAAATATTGAGTATGATATTTTTTTGGTGTATCGATCACCTGATTATATGGTACATTATTTCATAAAATTGACTAATAAAACTATATTACAGGATGATTATCCTAGAATGATTCGGACGACAGATGCTAATGACAGATTGCACACATTTGCGGCTTCTAAAATTTAGGATACATCTAATGATAATGACCTACCTAACAAAGTGTAGATCACACAATTACTTCCCCCTAGTTCATTAATTATGATTAACCTAAGATAATAACTATCCAATTTAAATAATAGTATAAAGAAAAAACATAGAGAAAATCATTTGTTTATGTTTATGTGTCCAAAGCCAAATGACTAGGGGACAAGGTGAACAAACTTCGAGAGCTTATAAAAACTTAGTAATAAGACAAGGGAGAAGCAGGAGATTGTACGTGTTTTGTGGGTTGGAGAGAGCATCGGGCTACGTAGTATTTTAACTGAGCCCAATGCCAATTTTAGTTGATAGTATAAATTATCGCACCCAACTGAAAATACTCAAAATAGTCCAAGTTAGGAAATTAAAGTAACCAGATCTTGAAAAGACCAAAATAACCTGGGAACGTAGCCAAATCAATCTCCTCTATAATAATAATAATACAACAGTTACTATTCAATCTCAATAAGTTAAAATTAATTAAGTTCATGTCACTTCGTTTATGTTTACCGTGAAAATGGTAATAACAATTAAATTTGATTATGGGACTCTAAAAATACGTGATCTATTTTTATGCTGGGTGTAAAGCAGTTGATGCTATGCGTAAGATTTAGAAACGAGATAAGAGTTAGGAATAAGGTGATAACCGAACCGATAGGCTAACAATTCGGGGCCTCGAGCGTCGATTCGGGGGCCTCGAGCGTCGATTCTGGTGCTCGGCTGGAGCTATCGAAGGCAGTTGAAGAGCGACTAACAGTTATAATAAAATCAACGAAGGTTCTTTATGGCCAATGATAAGCAATAAATGATGAACAATGAATAGAACACCATAAATATTAGCAATAAATGAGATAACGAGACCAAGAGAAAGTGTTAGAGAGCAGGGAGAATGTTCCAGTATATTTAGTATGGAGTCACCAGATGTTTACAAAGTGACAAGGATCTCCTTTATATATGAGGGGAATCCCAACATAGTACAAAATGCATTAATTACAAAAATATAGAGATGGGACAGCTAGTTGACGCCCTGATTCGGGTTTGGACTAGCCTGACAGACTTTGTCGACTCTAGCTGCACGCCTTGGGAACTCCCCATCTCTACCATAGCCAGGGTCAACATTGTCCCAAGGTCGAGTGTCGACGAACCTCGAGGGAGAAAACTCGACCGTAGCCTTGTAGCCTCGAGCCTTCGAGATGATCCTCTGAGGTGCCTCGATGACGAGGAATTGGACCCTCCGATTTTACCGTATACAGATAGTCCCCGCGTTTCTTGGAGAGGAGCGATAAGAAACGATTTTGACATCCATTTCTTCGGACTTCCTGTGACGATGTCATACTGATGATATCATACCTGTGACGCAAGCCTTCATGATAACTGGGGCATCTCATGGACTTGTCTTTGATTAATGCTATGTTTCCTTCTATTTGCGTTTGTGGAGATTCTGAATGCACGACTCTACTGGTTGATGCCAACATCGAGCCCGGGTATGGGTATTTTTTCTAGCCTTTGATTGATTAACGCGGCTCCCCGTGGAACCCTTTGTCGTTCTTTAGACCGGGTCCGGGTTGGACTGACAAACTCGGGTCGTCGGGACCCTGGCTTCGAGCTGAATGAGAGTAGGGCTTTGAACCCTCAGACCGAGACTTAGCCTCTAGACCCTGCGATAATCTTCGAGGGGGAATTTGCTCGAAAACTCGAGAATAGAGATTGCCTTTAGGCTTTCGAGAGCAGTTTTCGAGCGGGGGTTTACTCAGATTCGGGCCATCTGGAAACTTTTTTTGAACTTGATATAGATAGCCTTAAAGGCGTTGTAGATAGATTCTGGATGAGGTTTTACCCGGATTTAGATGGTACCTCAAGCCCATACGAGTCTTGCAATGATATCGATGGCCCTTTGGAGAGGTCCTCGAGATCGGGTACCATCTCGGGACTGGCGATGATGCCAATGGCTTCTTGGAGCCTAACTTCTTTTTTACAAAGATCCTCGAGGTTGGGTACCACCTCGGGATTCGTAATGATGCCAGTGGCTTTTTAGAGCCTAACTTCTATCTGATGGAGATCCTCGAGGTCGGGTACCACCTCGGTATTCGCAATGATATCGTTGGCTTCTCAGCGCCTAACTTCTCTTTGATGGAGGTCCTCGAGGTCGGGTACCACATCGGGACTTGCACTGATGCTAATGGCTTCCGGAGCCTATCTTCTTTCTAATAGAGGTCCTCGAGGTCGGGTACCACCTCGGGACTTGCACTGATGCTAATGGCTTCCTGGAGCCTATTTTTTTTTTTATGGAGGTCCTCGAGGTCGGGTACCACCTCGGGGCTTGCACTGATGCTAATGGCTTCCTGGAGCCTATCTTCTTTTTGATGGGTAGCGTTGATGATGAGGTTCTTTGCGGAGAGAGCGGGACTTGAATTCACACTCAATCATCTTATCGGGATGTATCAGGCTTTTCACCATCGAGGTCTGCTAACTTTACGATGTCGGTTGACCACGCCTTTCGTTGTTGATCACGAGGAAGACGAAGGTCGGGAGCGGATAGGCCGATTCATCCGAGTACGGACTGTTGGTATTATCCCCGTGGAGTTTATGCCATTCCCTGGGGAATGGAATTATACACGTAAGTGGTACACTCGTGCCTCCGTAGTTCTTTAATTATGGCGAAGGTGCATTTCGTAGATGCGCCTTCCTTTCCTCTTCTGCAGCAATTTCATGGATGTCGTGCGAGGTCCCGGTGTTTAACCAAAAAATGGAATTCGGTCAAAGCTTTATATTTAGAAGAACTCGGGTTACTGATAATCGAAAATGAACAAAAGAAATTGATTTTGATAACAATAAGATAGATAGCAGAAAGCAAAGTAAATCATTATATTCAGTTGATATTTCGTGTCCTTACAAATGACTAGTCTTCTCCTTTTTATAGCTATCTCTAAGATATACGTTTTGCCTTTGCCATAATAAGGTCATTATAGACAATTAAAGGCATTAAATGCTACGTTACATAATCATTGTAATTTAATACAGATTCTCTAATTTTTTCAGTATTTAATGCTTATTAAATACTGTATCTGTACTCTCTTGTGCTGTCAGATTCATTCTTCTTAACTTTTAGATTTGAATAGGTACGAGGATCGCGTCTTTTGAATATCTGCTCGTGCCTCTGCTTGTACCTCTGCTCGTACCTGTTGCAACTCGTGCCTCCTTGCCTACTATCACTCTTTGACTCCGTGTCATGACACGTCATCTTTCAATC